CTCTCTCTCTCTCTCTCTCTCTCTCTCTCTCTCTACCCCTTTCGCCACAAGTGCGCGTATAGATGTGAATATATGAATATGTATTTTAAATTAGTCATTTTGCACTATGATACATTGTAACAATATACTGTGACATTTCGATGTTGTTCGTCAACGTGTAATATCAGTAATATTTCTGTGATATTGTAATATGTAATATTTTCGATATATTGCAATATTATTACAATATTACTGTAATATCACGTGCTATATGTGAGATAATACTTACCATAAGCCTGGGCTGAAGCTAACAATCCATCATATTGTTACGTATAACATGCAAAACTTACAATGAATTTAAACGTACACATAAAACCACATAAAAGACAATCGCATATAAATTGATATAAAGTATAATAATATGAATAACTCTTTTATTGGGGGGGGGGGGGATTCTAAAATTGTCTATATTATTAACTAAACCATATAATTTTTATATAACAGTTTTTTCTTCTTTTGTAGATTCGAAAATCTGTTTCTAGGATTAAATATATGTATATATTAATACGTGTGAAGTGCATGGAGTTTATACCGAGAATGATAAAAAATTGAGATCTTTACCATTTTATAGTTCAATATGATGTTCGCGCTCTAGAGCTTTTACGTCGTGACATTTGATTCATATAAAAGCTATGCAATCTATTCTTACGAAATAGTACCATAGTCTACAAGTAGTTTTCACGACGAAACACGTGGAGTTTTAAAATTAGACATAGACGACTAATTAAAAAATTGTTATAAAAAAATTTATATGTATAATATATGCGTGAGATATTGATACAGTAATGATATGTCAATAAATCGTCTATGTAAGTCCTTTACATTATAACTAATCGTCTTTAGGATCCCCTTAAGTTATTAAAATGGAACGGGATTCCCTGTTTGGTATAAATATTATTTTTAATAGCACCCGACAACCTTATTGTTAGACAAATCTTTAAGCTGTAAAAAAAACGGCGAAAAGTTGTGGTATAAAAAAATTATATATAATCAAGAAAATATAGCTGGGTATGATGAGAGGATATAAAATATATGCAAAACATTGTTATAATAACATATGTTTAAGTTCTACTTACATATTTAAATAGTGATAGTTTGATGTCATATTGTACATTTTCGCGATAAAAGATACACATAATTTGAATATGAATTTATGATTACACTGACATTTCGAGACGATAAATTGTCAGATTTGTATGTACATTAAATTAATAATGAGGTAATGGATGTAGTCTGATATGAGATTCACGATTTGACATATGCTAAGTGCTAAATATTTATTAACGCGTATCTGCAGCTTGCAGATACGCGTTAATAAATATTTAGCACTTAATGAAATTTAAAAAAGTAGAAATACTTTTTTAGAAACAAGAAAAATAAATTCGTATATATATTTATTTTCTTAGGAGATAGGATAGAGGGTAATGAAACAAAATACACAAGAAATTTATTTAATCCTTTAATACATTTTCAAAAAAAACAGTAAAAATTAAAATTAATAATTGAATATCACCTCTCGCTGTTAAAAAATATTTCCATGGAATTTTAATAATAGAAATAATTATATAATACATAAAATCTAAAGAGATAAGTACATTACAAAATAAAAAATATCCTGTATTTGTATTAAAATCAGTATAATTTTAAAATTTTTGTGCCAAATTTTTAAAATATCCGAGTGTTAATTTAATATAATGTGATTGTGTTATTTAAATATTTCGTATATTAAATTGATATTTAATAATTTTATAATAGTGTTAAAATAACACAATTTACAGTTTATATCGTATTTAGTGGTAAGAATTTAGAATAAGTAAACAAATAATATATAGTAAACGTAAATTTTAAGATAAATGAATAAAACTTTATATGTTAATTTGACATATTATAAATATTAAATTTATTTAAGCTAATTTAATATAATAAATGTTATATTTTTTCTGAAGAAATATGTTTCCACAATTTGTTTACAAACGTATCAATGTTATATTTTATACATAAAATTTGTGTCATTTACTAATTACATATTCACTTTGTATTAAATTAACACAAAAATCTGAATGGTTCGTTTAGGACACATAAAGTCAGGTTTACGCAGAATGCAAATTGTAGATCACAAATAAAACATATTTCAAATTATACAATAGATTACAGGATGCAAGCCGATGCGAAAGTTGAAGTTTATCCAACTTTCTGCATTCTGTAATCTGTTATAATTAAAATATGTTAGAGATTGTTTCTTAAGACCCCTGCGTCCTTCGTTCTGCGTGCTGTATGTAGATCGAGCTTAAAATGTATTATATTTAACTCAAAATTTCTAATTACATAAGGAAGATAGGTAATAATCACTCACAAATATACTAATATGATAATTATATAAAAAATAAAAAAAAAGAATAATTTGTTCGTTTTGATTTTTATTTGTCAAGAAAAACGCAACGAGTTCACATATATTTAAAAATTTGATATAAATTAGCATTTCGTGATTCGTGACATTTGTGACACTGCGACTCGTTTAACTTAACAAAGGAATAAGGAATAGAAGAAAATCTTATTTGAATAGATCTTATTGTTTCTTCGCAGTATTGCAACAATCGAGTAATCGTTTTCAAATTGTTTAGCAAATCGACGTGCGAGAGATCCATTTAAGTATAAATCCGCGCCGATAGTAACGCGATCCGGTCGTCATCACAAAGCCAAATGCAATTCGGTCATAGCGGTCAAATTGATTTGACAAACTGGAACGCTATGAATCCTCGTTGATATCCGGTATCGAAACCACAGGACAAATCCGCATGGAACGATCTCGGATCTCGGACGAGCTCGGATAACAGCAAGCAGACTGGTTTACTCATGATGATTCGGGCTATCCTGATGTTCTGAGGCGTCCAAACTGATTTCATCGATTATCTTGTTCTGGCCGTTGCAAAGACGGAGTAACCTCGATATGTCTGGATATAATTTCGTCTCGCTGACCACGATGTTCGACACAAGCGCCGAACACACCGCAGATAAATCGAGATCAGCCGGCACAACTTGTACATTACGACCAAACCTATTTCAAGCAAAATTTATTTAATCATTATAAATTTTCAATAATTTTTGGATAAAATTATCGATGAAGAGAGCCAACCTTAATGACCTTAATCTTGACATACCATATGTAAATATTATCAAGGTCATGACTCTGAGTTTCTTCAAACAAGTTGTCACTTGTCAAAAAGTTATTTAATGAAAGAATTTAAAAAAAAATGATCAGTTTTATCAATGTCGAAGAACATATAATTTGCTATTACATATTAGATATATAGTATATATGTATATATATTTACATGAGGGAGAAGTACCAATTTTCTCTTTGCACTTATAATTTATAATTTTAAATACAAAATAAAAATAAATATTTTAAATATATAAATACGTATTTTATTCAATAACGCGTTTCTTTAATTCTTGTTTTTACGTAAAAATCAAAATGAAAGAAACAATCTTCAATGACCTTGATCTTGACAAACGTCATTCATTAAATCATGATCCTGAACAATATTCAAGACATTTTAGCACTTTAGGTAATGCAAAAATCTCTTAAAAAAACCTTTTTTTTTAAAAAAAGAAAAAACATACGCCAAGTGCATAAGAAAGATATTGAATCTCTTGATCAAAAACAGATATGAGATAAATATAATTGACCAAGTATTCTTCATTACGTCAGTCACATAAGACAGACCGAAAGTGACTATAATTGTCAACTGAATTATAGTGAAGAAAAAACTTGGCGTGCCCGGGTCGCATTAATTGTAAACAGTATTCAGAGAAAACATTATTTCAACATAGTATTTGCATTATAAATTAAAATATAAAAATAACAGACATATGTATACAGATATAATATATACATTGTACAATATAGTGATATAATTTGTGGGACATGAAAATATATTCACAAATAATAGATGTGATGTAAATTATGGAGAAATAATATTTAGATATATATATTTTAGAAACATTATAAATAACAACTCTTTATGTTCAGTAAGCAATTATTAACATCTTTTCTTTGTTGAATTATTGTTTTCGCATATATTGTATAATATATACTGCAGAATATTACGATAGAAGAAAGGTTCTTGCGTTTTAATGCGACCCGGGGACGCCAAGTTTTTTCTTGACTATAATCCAGTTGACAATTATAGTCTCTTTCGGTCTGTCTTATGTGACTGGTGTAATGAAGAATACTTGGTCAATTATATTTATCTCATATCTGTTTTTGATCAAGAGGTTTAATACCTTTCTTATGCACTTGGCGTATGTTTTTTCTTTTTTTAAAAAAAGGTTTTTTTAAGAGATTTCACTGCTTTTTGTAAATTTTGAAAACGTCATAATAATGTAGGAAATTTAAATCCTCTAAAAATAAATACAGATTCAATTTCTAAAATAGTTATTTTGTAAATTTCTATTTATTTAATATTAAAGATGTACTCGTATTGTATTTATTGACACTTAATTATACTTAAGTTTATTTGTACTTAATTTAGATTTGTTCTAAGAAAAATATATACGCGCTCTTTGCATTTCGTGGCCACTTACATACTTCAACTTTTAAATCATTTATGGATGTCCATTTTGTACCTTTAGCTCGCAATAAATTTGTGTAATGTCCTTCGTCTATATTTTTACCATGATGAAGAATCGCACTATTAACTTTATAAATATTATCACCGATACAAATTTTTGACGAAGGTATGGATTTAATATTAAGATTTGTAATCTTTATAACTTCTTCATTATTAACTTTAAATAATAATAATTGAATAATAAGTACACGTTTGGTCGTTGTTATACTAGTCTTTTCAAGTAAAGCAGTTGAATTACAATTACATGTATGTGTCACACGTACGATTGAAAAATACATGTATGTGTCACACGTACGTCTGAACATAACTGAAACGTACCCTTTTCGGGACTCGGTCTCTAGATCTCGGTATCGGCTGCACCAATTTTATTCGAACTGGTCGCAATCGAAAGATACCGATGACATTATGTAATAAAAGTGTTTTTAGATTTTTGATTGGGCTTTTAAATTCTGAGTAATTTTAATCTAAAGTTTGAAGATGTGAAAACTCGAGATAAAGCTAGTAGTAGCGTCGTGAATTTGACAGCAACATGAACGTATAAACACGATGACGTTCACGCATCAATCCAGCGATCATGTCAAGCAGTTAAGCGGTAATATCAGGAGACACGGTAGCGTCTCCGGCCATGTTCAAAAACTGTGAGACGCTACAAGTCTCTTATCCCGAGCCATCAAAGTCCATTTTTGGGAGGTGCATAACTATTAAAATATAAAAAATTTTGAATCAAACGT